CATCGATTTATGTGTCTGTCTTTCTAAAAATACCATATTTTCTTGATTGTTAGAACTACATAATAAGTATTAAAATCAGGTAGAGTAATTTCTCCCATTTTATTCTTTTTTTTTTTCCTCAAAATTGTTTTTAGCTATTGTAGGTCCTTTGCCTTTCCATGTAAATTTTAAAATAAGATTACCTTATATCTACAAAATATTTCTAGAATTTTCATGGGAATTGCATGAAGCCTACATATAAGTTTGGGGAGAATTAAAATCTTTACTATATTGAGGCTTCCAATTCATGAACACAGAATGTCTCTCCATTTAGTAAGATCCTTGATTTTTTTAATAAGCTTTTTGTAATTTTCAGCAAGTAGATCCTGTAAATGTTATGTTAGATTTATATCCAAGAATTTAATTTTTGGGGAGCAGTTATAATTTTTTTTTTCAGTTTTGCTTCCCAGTTTCGTTGTTATAGATGTATAGTTGATTTTTGTTTGTTGATCTTGTATCCTGTGACCTTACTGAAATTACTTATTAGTTCAAGTTTTTGGGTAGATTCCTTAGGATTTTTTGAGCAGACAGTTGTGTCATCTGCACATAGAGAAAGTTTTATTTTCTTCTTTCCAAACTGAAAAACTTTTATTTCTTTTTCTTAACTTATTTTGCTTGCTAGGACTTCTAGTACTATGTTGAGTAAGAATGGTAAGAATGGACATCTTTGCCTTGTTTTTTATCTCAGGGGAAAAGCATTCAGTCTTACACCATGATGTTGGCTATGTGTTTTTGTAGGTGCTTTTTATCAAGTTTTGAAATTTCCGCTCTGTTCCTATTTTGCTGATGGTTTTTTTTTTTTTAATCATCAATGGGTGTTGAACTTGCTCAGATGCTTTTTCTGCATTAATCAAGATGATCACGTCTTTTCTTTTTTATCCTGTTCATATGGTAGATTACACTGATTGATTTTCAAATGTTGAACCAGCCTAACATTTCTAAAATAAACCCCACTCAATCATTGCGTATAGTTATTTTTATATATTTCTCATTCAGTTTGCCATTTTTTCCCCTTAGGATTTTTGTGTGTATGTTAATGAGGAATATTGGTCTGTAGTCTTTTTTTTTGATCTGGTACTGCTGAACTCATAAAATGAGTTAGGAAGTGTTCCCTCTTCTATTTTCTGGAAGAGATAATGTAGAGTTGGTGCTAATTCTTCTTTAAATGTTTAGTAGAATTCTCCAGTGAAGCCATCTGTGCCTGGAGATTCCTTTTTCTGGAAAATTTAAAACTATGAATTCAATTTCTTTAATTAGTTATAAGACTATTCAGTTTGGGTGACTTGTAATAGTTTGCAAGTTTGGAGGAACTAGTCTATTTAATCTAACTTGTCAAATTTATGTGCATAGAGTTGAACATTTTTTAGAATTCCATTTTGATTTATCAGTAGTGTTTTTTCGTATATATCTTTGCATTTTTTATTGACTTCTTTGGGTATTATAATAGACAAACATAATTTATCATAATCTATTGTAATGACATTTTACCACTTTGGGTAAATTACAGAAACTTTACTTCCATTTATGAAGGTCCCTTTATCCTCCCCACTTTCTTATAATTGTCTTAAGTTTCTCTACATACATTGATTACATACATTGAGGGTATAATTTTTACTTCAAATGTCAAACATAACTTAAAAAACTCAAAAGGTAAAAGATAGTCTGTTATACTTTCCTGTTTTCGATCACTCTGTTGCTCTTTTCTTCTTTCCTAATATTCCAAATTTACTTCTATCATCATTTCCTTTCTGATTATAGAATTTCTTCTAGTCATTTTTTAAAATATAAGTCTGCAGGTGATAGATTCTCTTAGTTTTTCTTCATGTCTTGATTTCACCTTCATTCCTGAAGGATATTTTCACTGCATATAGAATTCTGGGTTGACATATATTCTTTCAGCACTTGAAATACGTTGTACCACTTCCTTCTGGCCTCCATAATTTCAAATGAGAAATTCACTGTCATTTGAATAATTGGTCCTTTGTAGGTAATGTGTCGTTTCTCTCTAGCTGCTTTCAAGATATTCCGTTTGTTTTAGTTTTCAGAAATTTGATTTTGATATGTCTTAGCATTGATTTCTTTAGGTTTATTTTGCTTGTGTTTGCTCAGTTTCTTGAATCTGTAGGTTTATGCCTTTCACCAAATTTGGGAAATTTTCAAACATTAATTTTTTGAACATGTTTCAGCCCAGTACTCTTTCTACTCTCCTTCTGGGATTCTGATGACATGAATATTAGATATTTTGTATTGCTCCGTGGTTCCTTGAGGCACCGTTCATTTATTTTGTTCAGTCTGTTTTCTCTCTTATTGCAATTGGGTTCTGCATTCCAATTCTATTCTATCTTCAAGTTCACCAATTCTTTTCTTCTGTAATCTCCATTCTACTATTGAGCCCATCCAGTGAGTTTTTTATTTTGGTTATTGTATTTTTGAGTGCTATAATTTCCACTTGTTTTTTTTTTTTTTTCTTATCTTCAATTGTTTTTGTTGAAATTGTGTATTTTTACAGTTATTTCAAGGGTATTTGTAATTGCTTGTTGAAGCATTTTTATGATGGCTGTTTTAAAATCCTTATCAGATAATTCCAGCATTGAGTTGAGTCATCTCATTGGTGGTGTCTTTTCTCATTCAGATGATTATTTTCCTGGTTCTTAGTATGATGACTGTTTTTCTATTGTATCTTGGACATTTGGGTATTATGTTATGAAACTCAGGTTCCTATTTTATCTTCTTTTTTAAAAGGCAGTCATCCTATTTAGGTTTACCATACAGGTTATGATCTACTTTTGTGGCCTGTGGTTCCAATGACGATTTAATTTCTGTAGTCTTTGTCATTCTATTCTGATTTGCTTCATTTGTGTGCTTCCCAGAGTTCAGTATGAACCATGACAGACTCCACATTGTAGTACACTTCTCTAACCTTTTGCTGTATTAATTCTGGTCAATTTTATGTGGGGATCACTATGAGGTCTGCCCAAGATTTTCCTTTCTCCAGCTCCCTCCTCTCTGAAATCCTCCCCCATTCTCCCATCCGCCAGGCCAGGCAGAGGGATGGAATCCAGATTCTCACCAAGGCCTCCCCTGACAGCACATTAGCAGGGAGAATGGAGTGACAACTGCTACTAGCAGGTGGGAGATGGAAGTTCAGTCTCTGCTGGTACCACTCCAGCAGGAAAGCATAGCACAGCCTGCACTGGCTCTCCACGTGGTCTCTCCAGGCCCAGGGAGTAGGGTAGGGGTTGCTGTGTTCCGCCAACCCCCACAGTGTTTGTCAAACCCTGCTAAGCTTCCTTTTCTTGGTCCTTTGGTTAGAAAGAGAAGGCTTTTCTTGGGGTTTTTTCTTTTCTAGTCTCTGTTTCTGAGCCTGTGCCCCAGTTTTGGGCATTTATGAATAAAGTTGCTGCAAACATTCACGTGTAGGTTTTTGTCTGAACAAATTTGCATACACTGTAATTTTGAATGAGGGCCTATTTCAGTAGGAGTGTGATAACTACAAATACAGCAGTAGCTGGTTTTGGGTGGTGAACCTATGAGTCATTGTTTTGCTCTTTTTTCTAAATCGTCTGATTTTTTCCAAGTTTTCAGTAATGAGTATGATTACTTGTAAAAAGAAAAAAGTTATATAAGTCAGATATTATGTCAATTATGTTTTGTGATCAACCATTATAATTCATATGTAATGAAAAATAAATGTCCTGTAATTTCCTTTATAGCTTTTATCATTTTTATTGCCTATACAAATATGATGGAACATATGTGTTAAATTGTTGAGTAAGTTCATGTAATGCACAAAAGGATGTAATGCAAGAAAAAAATAGAGTCAATAATAATTGAAGATATGGATTTAAAGATTAATAAATGAAATACTATATATTTCTGATAATAGAAGTATGAAATTATGACAGTTATAATATAGGTTAATTAACTTAATTATATTCTTTTAGGTTCTTTTTCCATTTTCTCCAAATGTTCAAAAGTAGGCAAAATGGGAAAAGATACCTAAAAGAATACAAATATTCTCAAAACTGATTAAAATTATCTTTTTCTAAATGAAAGGTGATGCATTTAATAAACGTACATTCTTGGTGAATGTATCATTTGTTGAATTAATTATCAGATGAATTGATCTTTAGTTCAAGTTGATTGAGGTGAATTGATGAACTGTCTCCTATTCTTTTTGAAGGGTATTCATAGTACTCTTGAAGCACGAATTCTGAATGTCTGTAGATAAGAATGGAGTCCCTGGGTGGTGCAAACCGTTAAGTGCTTGACTACTAACCCAGAGGTGCCTCAGAATAAAGGCCTGGAGATCTGTGTCTGAAAGGCCACAGCCTTGAAAACCCTATGAGTGCAGTTCTACTCTGCACACATGGGGTTACCACGAGTTGGAAGCAAGTCAAGGGAAGCTGGTTATCGGTTATTGACAAGAATATTTTTTAGGGACATTATTTTCTTGCATGGCAAGGGTGAAAGTTGCAGAGTGTGTGAAAACTTTAGCAAAAATAGTTTATATTATTTTCCTAAAGATTATAATTATTTTTCCATGGTAATGGGGAACATCTCACCTGCAGAAACCTTCCAATCTTCAAGGTTTTGTTACTTATATAGTAACAACCCTCATTTGAGTTATACTTTTTCCCCTTTGCCACTTTCCCTTTGCGAGGGGTGAAAATAGGCAAAAAACACATGAAGGGTGGACAGGAAGGAGGACGAACAAAGGAGCATTGTAACCTACAGATGGGTAATCAGATTGAGAATCGGGATGACTTTGCCTCACAGATCATAAATGATACCTCCTTCTTTTCCTAGCGAGTGAAAAATACATTGTATCAGTTTCCTTTCAGAGATACTGGGGGAAATAAATCTTAAATTTTGTCAAAGCAGCGCTGAATAAATTTTTTTTACGCTTGATGAAATAGTTGAGTTAAAAATATTAATCTGCATAATTTTTTCTTTTGTAGGAATCTTTGCTATAGAGATTTCTGACACATGAAGATTCTTCACATCCTTGGGAAAGCTCAAAGTTACAAACTGAATTTTTTTTTTTGCTATATGATTGCGTTTATCTTTTGAATGCTTGACGATGTTAAATGTATTTATTAACTTTACGCCTCTGAATCACTGCCATATCGCAGTGAGCTGAGATGACGTATAGAAACAAAAATGCATATGGCTCTTTCTCTCCATACAGTAATAGTGAGTGTGAAATCTGCTTACTTCACTATTGAACGTGTTATGTTAACTCTCCGGAGTAAATAAAGAACCTTATAAAAAGAGGGAAAAGTGTTTTTACAAAACTGATTTCCTTTCCTTTCTTAGTATCTCAAATAATTGGTTGGTTAATTTTTTTCTCTGTGATTTATGCTTTGATGGCTGGAGAATCGTGCCAATACAGGCACAGCTCCGATACTGGCCTGGGACCATATTCCTTTTTGGAACCAACCTGACATAAATTCCATGCCATATCTGACTTCAGTGCAGCAGAAAGTAGGAGTGTGTCAGGGTTTTTAAATCCATAGTAATGTAAACTCAAGAATAATTAACATACATTTTTGACAATTGTGTTTACTTCTATTTTTAGGAAGGTAGGTGATGATATATCTGTCAAGAATGTAAGATTTAAAAATCTGTATTTTTGATAAGTATTCTTAAAAAATTAAAGTACTGCAATCAACCTAATTGACATTTATTTATTTATTTTTGCCAGTGGCAACTCTGTAATCTAGAGAAACAAGTTTCAGTGTTGTTTTCTTCCTCTTCCCTAAATTCTCCTAAATCTTTCACCTTATCTGTCCATAGGCTTTGATTTAATATTGATATTGGAGCCTGAACACTACTGTAATTTACTGATATAAGCTATTTGTATTCTTGCTATTTTAATAAAAAATAAGTCCTGTCATTAATAGCATTCATATGATGTACACAATTTCTCATTTTATAATAGTCACTATTCAATATGACTGTAGTGATGTAGAATAGTGCCCTGGTTTAGGTCTTGTTTAGTCAATAGCACTCCGATATTTTACCATTAATGCATGCTATATATTCATTTTCGTTTGGTTTTTAAAAACCTTCAGGTTTATTCAGTGAATTTAAGACAGTCACTACAGATAGAGAAAAAATTGAATAATTTAAAATAAGATCCTTTTCGTAAATGTGTTACAGGATAACATGCAAAAAAGTTCTTCTTTCTAATATTAAATAATATGCTGGTATAGATGCAAAAATAATCTTTGCTAGGGGACTAGTGGTCATAGCACTAGGTCATCACAAGATCAATTTCAGCGTCTCCACCTCCTGGCAGAGCTGATGAAGAGCTGAATGTCTCCAGTCACGTGTCCTTCTGACATGTTGGATATAGAGGGGGTGTGTGGGGAGGGGGCATGACAGGGATAGGAATGAAGTAAGTAGGAAAATATTTCCATACTTGATTAAAAGTACTTGACTTGTGCCATTAATTACAAATATGTAAGAGGAAAATTATACGGTAGGTTCAGAGGAGCCAACGTCATCCAAAGGTAGGGAAGTCTCAACTGTATTCTAAGTTAAGACTTCAAAGAAAATGTTTTTTCTTATGGTAATATTCAAGAATATTTATTGTTTTAAATGACAGTCTAATTGATATGCATTCATAACAGCCTATTGCTGTAGTAGGGTACCTATTGCAATAAAATACACAATGCAAAAACCATACCACACATATTCTTTCTTTGATAACAGAACAAAACAAAATGAAAACAAAACTTCCTGAAAGACAGTTCTCAGTTTTGAAATGTCATATTAAATATAAAAAATGCACTCCTGCTGTCATGGATTGAATTATGTCCCCCCCAAAATGTGCATCAGTTTGGCTGGGCCATGATTCCTGGTATTCTGTGATTTTCCTATATATTGTAAATCCTGCCTCTATGATGTTAATGAGGGAGGATGGGTGGCAGTTGTGTTAGTAAGGCAGGACTCAATCTACAAGATTGGATTGTGTCCTGAGGCAATCTCTTGAGATATAGAAGAGAGAAGTGAGCAGAGAGACGGGGGACCTCATACCACCTAGAAAGCAGTGCCAGGAGAAGAGCATGTCCTTTGGACCCCGGGTCCCTGCGCGGAGAAGCTCCTAGTCCGTGGGAACATTGATGAGAAGGCCAACAGAGGGAGAAAGCCTTCCCCTGGAGCTGACACCCTGAATTTGGACTTTTAGCCTACTTTACTGTAAGGAAATAAATTTCTCTTTGTTAAAACCATCTACTTGTGGTATTTCTGTTACAGCAGTGCTAGATGACTAAGACATCTGCTGAAGTAAGGCTGTTGTGAAGAGAATGCTCAACCTCTGAGTGTAATTTAAAGCTAGGATTTGTTGTCTAAAATCCTATTTTGGAGTTCCAAGTACCCCCAGAATTCTCTTAGTCTTGTCTTTTTTTGGTTTATCTGAGCCATCATTCAACTTCCTGATGGAAATAGGAGCAAGGCATTTGCATGAGGATTCATTCTGAAGTTTGTAAGCTCCAGTCTCATAAGGAACAGGTGTCCTCTTTTTGATCTTTAGAATATTATTACAAGAGTTCATCCCCCCTTGTTATTATTTAGCAACAGTAGGCATAATTAATTAATATGTTCTGGTAATATCAGCTACTAAAACTTAGATTAGAATCCACTGAAAGTATTAGTAATATAAAGAAAATTTCTAGCTAGGACTCTGTAAGTATCGGCCACAATCATTATGAGTGATCTACCCTGAAGTAATAATAAAAGAATAAAGAATGAGTGGAAACCACTGGATTTGTACTCAGTTATGACTCCTAAACAGTTATTGCTTCAGATTTATTTGAAATTATGCATCTTGGTACTTAAAATATATTTTAAAATATTGCTCTCATAAGAGTCTGCTGTTTTTTTCTTTCCTACACATTTCCCTACAAGTACTTACCATGATCTTTTTATAGAGTCATCACCTCAGCCTTCCCCCAAATACTCTGCTCAAAGTTGCGTTTCTTGCATAATCAGAAATAGTTGACAACTCTATTTGCTAGCCTTCTAGTAAGGTAGAATAGAGCTACCAATTGATAAAAACAATCTTCAAAATTCATGTACTTGATTTTTTTTTACTATTAATATTTTATTGTGTTTTAGGTGAAAGTTTACATAGCAAATTAGGTTCCCATTTAACAATTTTTATACAACTTGTTCCATGACGCTGGTTACGTTTTTCACAATGTGTCAACATTCTCATTGTTTCCATTATTTTTGTTCCATTTCCATTCATCTAGCTTCCCTGCCCCTCCTGAGCTTCTCATCTTTGTCTTAGGGTAAGTGTTGACTGTTTGGTCTCGTATACTTGATTATTTAAGGGAGCACAGTATTCACAGATGACATTGTTTATTTTACAAGCCAATCTATTGTTTGGATTAAAGGTGACCATCGGGAGTGGCTTTAGTTCCAAGTTCAAGGGTATCTTAGGGCAATAGTCTTGGGGATTCCTCTAGTCTCTATTGGTCTAGTAAGTCTGGCCTTTTTTAGGAATTTGAGTTTTGTTCCACATTTTTCTCCCTTTCTATCTGGGATCTTCTGTTGTGTCCCTGGTCAGAATGGTCGGTAGTGGTAGCTGGGCGCCATCTAGATCTTCTGGTCTTAGGGTAGATGAGGCTGTGGTTCATGTGGGCTATTAGTCCTGTGAACTTAACTTCTTCTTTAAGTCTTTGACTTCCTTTATTCTCTTTTGTTCCAGACTCATGTACTTGTTTTTTGCCATATCAACTCTCATAGCAAATCATAGGTTATCTAATGGCACAAACTGCTGTTTAAAGCCAAATCATCAGCTATCAGAATGTAACTTTTTATACTTTTTGTTAGCCCTAACCTTCTCAGGTGAAGAAAATTCTTGCGTCATGCTACATAATACATGAAGCTCAGTCTGATTAAGCCCCTAGATATGCTTTGCACCTAGTACGTTTCTACATAACCAGAGTGATTTAGACTGATTGTCTTTAAATTTTCAAACAATGTCCCAATTAAATTTAAGAAGTTAGTATATTCTTTATAGAAGGACTTACATTAAACAGAGTGTAAAGTATCATTATTTCAAGATTCTATGATCTCCACAAAATATGCAACCTCACTGTCATTATCCATGTCCTTTACATTAGTACCACTTAAAACATCATGTATCACTGATAACAATATGTGGTATGTCAGCTTTAGCTCACATTTCTTTCAAGAAAATTTTTAATGGGAAGGGTATCCCTTAGTCTTTTAAGGACTTACGTAAGTGTATGATAATTTATAAAAGCTTCATCAGATTTTTTGTAATTATAGCATCAGACTGGTTTTCTTAGGCACTTCTTAATGTTTCAATTTTATCAGCGTCATAAGCATAAGCAGTATTTACAATTGCATGATAAATATGCAATAAAAAGTATTCAAGTGTAAACAAGTGTCAACTGAGCACTCTCTCTGAGCTGAGAACTTTGCAGGATGCTCTTAATAGTTCTTATTCCAAGTAATGTTGTTGTTCATGGGTTGAATTAACGTGGAAATAACATCTGCAGGCAGGAAGATGATAAAAATATTGTCAGATGTTAAATCTGCTTCCTTAAGGTGCATGTGGTTCTGTGGTACATAGGGTCGCTTTGAGTTGGAACCGACTCGGTGGCATCTAACAACAACAAGGTGCATATTGAGGTGTAATGCGACTAATAAGAGAAAATATCATTTGTTCCTTGTCCCATTACTTCAGTGATTCTTAATCCTGGCTTCATTTTAGAGTGACCTGTGGAACTTTACAAATTACAGTGAAATTAAATGACCTAGGGGCACTAATTTAGCCATAAGCAGAGTACAGCTTTATTACTCAATTCCAAAGAATCTAACCAACTGTTCTTTCTGATTTTTGTGGACTTAATTTACATAGTTAATTATTATACTACCGAATCATATTATTTTATACTTCCCCTTTCAAATAGTATTTATATGCTTTCTCTTGTAGAGGTAGCAGAATTTTATTTTGCTGTTTCCATTGGTCTATCTCTAGGATCATATACTTAGCTCTGTTCTGGTTTTGCAACTTCTCCCCTAGATTTTTACGTATTACAGTAAATGGTCTTTTCTAGTCTATAAACTGAATTATGCACATTAGTGTGCTCTAGCAATAATCTCAGAAAGAACTGTGATGACTAAGACTTGGTTTTCTCTTTTACTAAATACGTTCCTCAGTAAACAGACACAGTGCTGTCGTCAGAACATATCAAAGGGAGTGAGGCAAGGCACACAGCAGACTTGAGCATTCCGTTGATGGGTGTGCCTTGGTCTGGCCTAGTGGTGTCTGTGAGATGATAGGGGTGTTTGGGTCCTATTTATCAAATACCTACAGGGTCAACCCCATCCGCTGGAAACAGCCACTTTTCACCACCACATCATCACTGCTGATGTTTCTTCTATTTTTGTTTTCAATTGTTCAACCTCTCATCACAGTTGCTACGCTATGCCGTCTTCTTTCAACTTTTATTCTTTAATAATAAATATAACTATGCTTAGTCCACCACACAAAAATCATTTGCTTCCCAAAACGCCCAGTGCGATGGTTAAGGTTGTGTGTCGACTTGGCTGCGCCATGATTCTCGGTGGCTTGGCAGTTGTGGTGTAGTTTGGCAGCTCTGTAAGGATGTGGTGGTGTTTTAATGTGGAGTGATTTCTTCCCCACACCCCCACCTTTTCAGTAGGTTACTCATTTCCTTCAGTGCGTTTTCTGATGGTAAATGGTACGGTCCATTGTCATGAAGTATGTACTTACTCTCCTATATAAATAATTAAAACATTAAACTATACCATAAAATTAATGTACCACTCATAAAACACCACATTCTCTCCAGATTAGAAGCACACAATCTATAATTAACATTTTCAGATACAATGCAGA